ACATTAAAGTAATATTATATTTAAATACAAATAATATAATATGATTTAACAGAAAATATATTGTATTTTACTATATATATACTGTATATATATATATATATATATATATATATATATATATATATATATATATATATATATATATATATATATATGTATATATTTATATATAGATTTATAGAATAATTAATAATAACGATAATTAAATAGTAATTAAATAATAATTATACAGTTTTTAAACACTTATTGATTATAAATATAAACAGTTTATTATTTTTTTCATAATGTAATATTGAAATAATAGAAATAATTATTATACAGTTATGTTGTAATTATTTATTACAAAAAAATAAAAAAATAAATAAATTATTATAATAATTAATTAATTTTGTAATTTAAACAAAAATTTTCTTAAAATTTTTGTTATATTGCTTAAGTATAATGTATTTTTAAAAAATAAAAAATAAAATTTAATAATCAATTAATTAAAACTATCATACTAGATAATTACTAGATATTATAAGCAGGGTTCAATAGGGTATATATATATACAGTATTATACATTATTAAAATTGCAATATATATTTTATGTACAATATATTTATAATACAATAATAATAATGATAATATTTTACACAAAAATAAAAATATATAATATTTTAATTTTAAAAAACAAATGTATGTATATATATATTTTTTTGATTATAAATAATTAAAAAATAATTAAATAAAAATAATAATCAATAATAACTTATACTAGATGAGTTTTGTGCATATAATTTTTTTAAATATTATAATTATATTTTATTAATATTATTATCATTACTACTATTATTATTAATATTATTATTTATTTTAATATCATTACTACTACTACTACTACTACTACTACTACTACTACTAGTAGTAGTAATAGTAATAATATTATTTATGCAATAATTATTTTTATTATTATTATTATTATCATTGTATACATATTTTTTCATTAAAATAACAAAACCAATTGTACATCCAATGGCTAAACATAAATAACCCAGTGGCAATACGACAAATATTAGGGGCATTGACTCCAAATAGGGTCCTAATATGAGGGGCGGTATAAAATTGAAGGCACCGATAAAAAAGAAAATCAATGAACCCCTACTGTTACGGCCGATGTCCAATCGGGAACCGGCAGCACCTAATATACCCGGGAATAGTATAGAAAACCCGTAGCCGATGGCAATGGCCACTATCCAGATGGCTATTATCGAGTGGCCGGCAAATGCCTATATTTTTAACAAAATAAAAATATTAATAATTAAAATAATTATAAAATATTTTTAAAAAATATATTCTAAAAAAGCTAAGTTAAAATAATTAGATTTACAATAGTATTTTTAATATTATTATTATTAATTTTATAATTTTTTTTTATAAATATTAGTCAACTTAAATTTTTATCTCAATTTATTATGAAATCTATAATTTTATTATACTATTAATATACTACTACTACTACTACTACTACTACTACTACTACTACTACTACTACTTTAATAACTTTAACTAATAATTTAAATAATAATATAAAAACTTATAATTATTTCTATTAATATTAACAATTAATATTAAAAAAATATATTTAAAAAATATAAATATTGTATATAAAGTTATTATACATACCAGTGCTAACATAGCTATAAATGTAAACACATAGTGATAGGCAATCATATATTTTGTCGACACTTTGATGGCTATGAAAAAATTCAAGGCTTGACTACAGGTATACGATATGCTTAGTGCCGATGATATAATGGCTGCATTGTGTGCCGGTATGTGTACGGGCAGGTACTGGAAATATGTACTGGCAAAATTAAAATAGACCAATTCCAATGAGTTGATACAGGCCAGTGTCATAGCTACCAGTGCCAGTACGGACAGTCGGATCAATGGTCGACACGTGTTGAAGGGGTTGTTGTCGTTACTAGTGTTTGGTTTATTATCAGTTAATTTTTGGTTATAATTATTACTAGTATTAGTATTATTACTATTATTACTATTATCAACAATAATAGTATTTTTATTATTATTATTATTATCATCATTATTATTATCAACAGTTTGATAACGGCATACAATAAACATTATCAACAATATTATGGGAACTAAAAAATAAAAAAATAAAATTTATTATTTAATAATTATAAGTAATTTTTTTAAAAAAAATTTAATACTATGTTAATAATCTAAAAAAAAAGTTTAGATAATTTTATTTTTTAAATTTTAGTATTTAATTAGTTAAAAGTAGTTATTATTATTTTTTTATATACACACTTACATATTAATAATATTGAACCACATATAGCATACGGTATGACCAGTTTTGATTGCCTGTCCTTACTATTGGTTATACTATTGACATTAGTAGCAACCGGGTCAATTTGATGATAAATATCATCCAGTACAGTTAGATTATTGGTACTATTATTATTATTATTATACTGATATGAGGTAGCATTTACGCCATATAGCTCATGTATGTTTGCCTCCCCATCCTCCCTTTCCCCAGTCAGATAGGGTGCATCAATCAATGGTCCCAGACTGGCACCTATACCATACATCAATTGGGATATAAATAGTACTAGCTCAGATTTATCTGTCCATAGTTCAATTAGCCAAATATTGTAGGTAGTATTCCAGGCACCCGATGCCAGGCCAAATACTAGACCGCACAGATAGTATTGCCATAGTCGGGTGCAATAGGGTGTTAGGATTGTTGCAGTGGCCAACTGGACAAGCAATATGATACAAAACAGTTGCCTATTGATATATCTGTATAGTAGGCCAGCTATTATKGKTTGGGTTGATGGGTAGGGTTGGGTTGGGTTGGTGGGGGGGGGGTAMAAMACAAAGTTAGCATGCTAATTTTTAATATATATATATAATTATATACATACATAACGATCCAATCAGATAGCCTGCTGCCTGTACTGTTGAATACAGTGATACCGATTGTAAGGTTGTATTCAATATATATTTAAAATCAACAAATGCCGGTCCAAATGATGATGAACAAATTACCTAGATTCAAATTAATTAATTTATTAATTAATTAATTTACTAGGTTATTTTAAATAATTTTTACAAAAAAATTAAATAAAATTGTAATTAATTTTTTTTAATAAATATTAATCTAATAATAATATACATTAAATACTTACATAAAATATATGAGTAATCAATAATATTATTGTATAAATATATTTTTGATTCAATAATTTTTTGGAAAACATTTTTTTTAATAATAAGTTTTATAAATAAATAAATAAATTTTTATTATATTATTATTATTATTATTAATGATTAATTATTTAACTTTTAAATAATAAAGTTAATTAATTAATTTTTTATTAATTGATTGATTTATTATTATTATTAACTATAATTAATAGATATTATTATTATTATTATTTAAAAACAATATTGTAAAATAAATAAAAATATTATTTCAATTCAATATATTTTATAAAATATTTATTTTTAAAAAACTAAATCAATTTATTTTGTGAAAATTAATACAATTATTACAAAATATATATTAATAAATATGTTTTTTATTAAGTAATAGTTATTTATTAGTTGCGAAAACTTTTTAAGTATTATTGATAAACAAATCAAATATATATTTAGCAATTATTTTATTTTATATAAAAAATAAAACATATTTTTTTATAAATATATTTTTATTTAATATAAAAAAATTTACACATTTAACATTTTAATAGAAATAAATATACTAAAATATATAATTTTTAAAAAATGATTATAATTAATCAAATACACAATTATTTTTTTATTATCATTAATTGATTATTTTATTTTAGAAAATAATAGATAAAATTTTCCATAATTAAGTACAAAAGTTAAAACAAATAAAATAATATATGATTTTACAAAAAAAWATATAAAAAACATTATACTTTACTATTAACAAATAATTAAACAATTAAATAAATAAATATATATTTATTTATATATTATATATCTTAAATAAATTTTCCAATAAAAATGATTATATAAATATTTTTACGGCAGTAAAAATACAGTAATATATTATTAAATTATTATATATATAATAATAATAATTTAATTAGAAATATTACTTATTAATTACTTAATAGATTAATAACTTACTATTAAACTAATTTTTTTTAAAAAAATAAATAAAACATAATAGTAGTTAATTGTTTATTTTTTTAAAAAATAAATAATATTTCTAATTAATTAAATTAATTGACAACACTAGATATAAATTAGGGTACTATAATTTTATAATAAAATAATAAATATATTTAAATATTTTAAATTAATTAAAATAATAATTATATAATATTTGTACAATGATTGCCGTTAATCAATTTGAATGTAATATTTAAATAGTTTATATTTTACATAAAAACCATTCAAATTATTTGATTACAGTTTATGAAAAAAAAACTGCATTTTTTAATTAAAAATTATTTACTGTTTTTTTTATACAATAATAAAGTATTTACATTGTATTAAAATATTGTAATATGTTTTTTTTAAAAATGTATATTTACAATAAAATAAATAAATATTATTTTATAATAATTATAATAATAATAATACTAAACATATTATTTAAACAAAAATAAAATCAATATTTATTTAATTATTTAATATATACTTTATTATAAATATATACAATATTGTAATTAAAAAAAAATAAATACAACAATATGTATATAACAAAAAAAACAACAAATATAAATAATAAAATCTATTATATATACAGTAAATAATTATATACAATAATATTTTATAATAATTAATTAAGTAATTAATTATGTAAATAATAATATGTAAAAATATACGATAAATTTTTGTACTAGATTATATTTGATGGGAGGGGGGGGGTAGAAATACAATAATGAGATTTTATTAAATATATAATATAAGTGTGTGATGGGGGTGTGTGTGGGTTGGGGTTGGACCTAATCTTTACAATTGCTAACTTTATTACAATTATTATTACTGTTATCATTATCATTATCATTATATACATATTTTTTCATTAAAATTACAAATACAATAGTACCCAGTATACTCAAAACTAACAGTGCCAGTGGCAATATGACAAATATCAGGGGCATCGACTCCAAATAGGGTCCCAATATGAGGGGCGGCAGAAAATTGAAGGCACCGACAAAAAAGAAAATCATAGTACCTCTACGGTTGCATATGTCCAATTGGGAACCGGCTATACCCAGTATACCCGGAAATAGTATGGAAAACCCGTAGCCGACGGCTATGGCCAGTATCCATATGGCCACTATCGAGTGGCTGGCAAATGCCTATTGTTTTTTTCATAAAAAAATAATTATAAAATATTTATAAAAAAAAAATTAAGTTAAAATTATTAGTACAGTATTAATATTAATATTATTTAAAAAAATAAATATTAGTTAAATTAAATTTTTCACTCAATTTATTAGTAAATCTATAATTTTATTATACTATTAATATACTACTAATACTATTAGTATTATTATTATTATTATCATATATCAAAAAACAAATAATTAATTAATAATTAATTAATTAAAAATCATTATAATAGTTAGTACTGGTATTATTTACTGATGAGTATTTATTTTTTTAATAAATAATTAATAAAAATTATTATTATAGTTAGTACAGGTATTATTTACTGATAAGTATTTATTTTTAAAAAAATAAATAAATAAAACTATTTATGATATATAAAATTAAACTAAACTAAATATATTTGATAATTTTTTTTTTGACATAAAAGTAATATTATTGAAATATTGATATTTTTTTAATAGATATATTTAATAAATATATAGTTTATATTTATTATATAAAAACTTAAAATATGTATTTTATTTTTAAAAATATTTATAACATAATTAAATTAAAACTCTAAAACTTCGGTTCCCTATTAATTAATTTAATAATAATTTTATTATTATTATTATCTTAATTATCATTAAATAATAATAATAATAATAATCTATATAACTGTAATAGTAATTTAAAAATAAAATGTAAATGTAGTTTTAAAACATTAGAGATACTGTATCTATAAATATATATATATATGATATATTGATATATACAGGTAGTTGAATAGTTTTACATACCAGTGCCACCATAGCTATCAATGTAAATACATAGTGATAGGCAATCATATATTTTGTCGACACTTTGATGGCTATGAAAAAATTCAAGGCTTGACTACAGGTATAGGATATGCTTAGTGCCGATGATATAATGGCTGCATTGTGTGCCGGTATATGTAAGGGTATACACTGGAAATAGGTACTGGCAAAATTAAAATAGACCAATTCCAATGAGTTGATACAGGCTAGTGTCATAGCTACCAGTGCCAGTATGGTTAGTTGAATTAAGGGTCGACACGTGTTAAATGGTTTGATGGTAGTGTCCGGGACATCCACTATACTAGTAATCGGGTTATTATTATTATTATTATTATATGATTTAGTAGTAGTAGTAGTAGTTGTAGTAGTAATTGTAGTTTCAATATCTTTATTATTATTTTGATTATTATTTTGATTATTATTATCTGTTTGATAACGGCATATAATAAATAGTATCAACAATATTATGGGACCTGTAATTAAAAAATTAAAAAACAAAATAAAATTTTAAGAAAAATTTATCAAAAAAAAAAATAGTTTTAAAAATATTATCAGTTTGTTATACCTGTATATTATTATTATTACTCATAAATATTAATAATAATTTAAATCAAGTTTTTTATTAATTAAGTTTTAACTCTTAAATATTTTGATAACTTATTTAAATAATTATTATTATATTATATATATAAATAATAATCAAAAAGTCTATTGAAAATTATAATTATTAATAATTTAGATATAAAACAAAAATAATTGTTTTAATTAATTTAATTGAATATTTTTGTTTATTTCATTAACACACTTACATATAAATAGTATTGAACCGCAAATAACATAGGGTGTAACCAGTTTAGCCCGGCGCTCACCATTGGTAATACCTATTAAACTGGTTACATGGTCAGCTAACTGATGCTGATGACTATCAAGGACAGTTAGATTATAAGCTAAGTAGCTATGACTACTGTCCATAGTATGCACCGGGTGCTGCTGCTGATGGTGCTCAACCACCAGTTCCCCAGTCAGATAGGGTGCATCAATCAATGGTCCCAAACTGGCACCTATACCGTACATCAACTGTGATACAAATAGTACCAGTTCCGATTTATCTGACCACAGTTCAATTAGCCAGACATTGTAGGCAGTAGTCCAGGCACCGGCACCCATGCCAAATATAAATGCACACAAATAGTATTGCCATAGTCGGGTACAATAGGGTACCGATATGGTTGCCGATGCCATCAATACCAGTAATATGGCAACAAATAGTTGCCTATTTAGATAATTATATACTAGGCCAGCTTAATATAAAAAATTAGCATGCTAATTATTATTTTTATTTATTTTTATTTATTTTTAATTATAATTAAATTAGCTTACATAATGTCCCGGTCACGTGACCGGCTGCCTGTACTGTTGAATACAGTGATACCAATTGTAGGCTAGTATTCAATGTGTATTTAAAATCAATAAATGCCGGCCCAACTGATGATGAACAAATTGTCTAGGTTAAATTATATTATTTTTTTAATTTTTTTTAATTAACAATCAAATAATTTAATCAAAAAAATAATAAATAAATAAATAAATTTTATTTTATTTTATATTTATAATTAAATATACTTGTAATATATATATGTATACTTACATAAAATAAATGTGTAACTAATAGTACTAATGAATAAACATATTTTTCGTTAAATAATTTTTTTGTAAACATTTTTAGCTATAATTGATGTTAAAAACAATTTTTTTTAACACAAAGTAAACAATAAAAAAAATATTAATAATTTTTCAATTATATATATTTATATATATATAATTATTTTATATTTATAATAATATTATTAGTTTTACAAAAAAAATATATAATTATTAATTTATTTTACACAAAATTTTAAACAAATTAGAAAAACATTTATAGATATATAGTTTTTTTTAATTAAAAAAACTTTTTCAACAAAAAAAAATTATTAAATAATTATTATTATAACTAATAATTTTAGTGTAATTTTGTTGCGAAAGTTTGTAAACGTTTTTTTTTAAATATTTTTAAAAATAAAAATATATTGAAATAATTAAAGTTTTCTAATAAATTATGATATTATTATTAATTGAAAATAACATATTTTTTTTGTTTGTCGTTAAACTATATGTTAAAGCAATACATATATAAAAAAAATAATAATGACTTTAATTATTATTTTTTTGTAAATTATTATTTTGTAAAAAAACTTTCCAAATAAAAGTACAGTAAAACTACAATAAATAATACTTGCAATAAAAAACTATAATATACTACAGTTATACTGTTATATATATTATTTTGATGATAAATTGATGATAATAATGATAATATTAGAAATATTAGAAATTATTATTATTAATTATATTGTTTATAAGAATAATAAAAAAAGTTAATTATTATTTACAGAAATAAATAATTTTTCCACTTTTTCCATATATATATATACTGTATATTAACATTAATATTACTAATAAATATAATACAGTAAATACTAAATACAAGTGTAAATTTTGTTATAATAATAAATATTAGTTTATAAAAAATGTAAATATGTTTTACTGGGAAACTAATTTTCAAACTATATATTATTTTATAAAACTTAATAATATATATATATACTGTATAAAGTTTTTATTATACGTAAAATAAAAATGTAAATGTTAATTTGTTGTATCATCAGTTAAATAACAAAAAATAAAATAAAATGATATTTAAAAAAAGTTAAGCATTTATTTATATTAGAATATAGACATAGAAACTAATAAAAAAAACAATTGAAATAAAAACAATAAAATAAATAATTTGTCAATTAATGGAAATTTTTTTTTTGTTAATTAACTTTTTGACATTGAATTTTGAAATAATCTAAACTATTTATTTTCTATACTATTATATATATATATAACAAATATATTGATTTATAAAAAAAAATATTTTAAATATTTTTTATTATTTGTTAAATAGATTTTATGCTAATATAAAAAATCTATATTATTTAGTAATATTATATAATGATCAAGCACATATATATATATTTATACATATACTTGCATATTTACATAACTGGTAACATTACTTGTAGCATTATGTTTTTTTTTAATTTTATTTTTTATTAATGTATATTAAATAAATTTTTTAAAAAATAAATTAAATATTTAGTTTTTTTAGGATAGATAAATAATTAGGAAAAAAATAACTATTAATAATTTTTTTTGATTTTATATATTTAAAACAAAAACTAAACTAGATAAATTAGTTTATTAGATTGTTATAATATATTAATATATATTTAAAAATGTAAATTTTTTACAAATTAACATTTTATTTATATAATAGTTTGTATTTTTAAAATAAAATGATTTTAGAAAAAAGTAATAAAAAGTATTATTTATTATCTATTTTTCATAACTTTTAGTATTTAATAAGTAAATCAATTAATATTATTTTGTTTGTTTGTTTGCTATATATATATTCAAATAATTTACTTTAAATGTATTATTGCAATAAATATATATATATATATATACTGTATATAATATATTATTACATATTCAGTATAGATATATACATATATTTTTCTTAAATAATATACATAAAAAAAATTTAATATATAAAACAACTTATATAACAACTATAATGTAAAATAAATACTATATAAATACTATTCAAACAATTTTGTCTAATCATTAGAAAATCAAATAATTCAATTTAATAATAATAATAATAAAAAACAGATAATTATTTTTTTATTATTGATTTTTTTTTGTTAATACTAATTATATATATATATTATGTCTATTCAAGTACTTTAAACACACTTAACAAATGTTACCCAAAGAACTTGTTATATAAATATTATTAGTTATAAAATAGTTATCAATAATAATAATAATAATATTGTAACAAAAATATTGATAATAATAGACAACAAAAAAATTTCATCAATTTTTTTTGATGCAATTGATTGGTGTATAAGTTGTAAAATATATTATGTTATGTAATGATTTTCAACAATACAATAGTAATCAATAACTAAAATAATAAATATAAAGTATAAAAAAATATTTTTAGTCTATTATTTAATTAAGATTTTTTTTCAAAATAAAATAAATGATCTACGGGATTTTTTTCCTAATAAAATATTTAATAATAAACTTATTTTTGTTTTTAAAAAAATTAATTGATCATGATTATTTGTACTAAACTTTTTTAAACTTAATTAATTAAGTAAAGTAAATAAATATATATATAATATAAATATATATACAGTATATATATATAATATTTAAATGTCAATATTAATTAGACAAATAAATTAATTTTATTTTATTTTTTTGAAAAAAGTATAAATAGTTAATATAATTCTGTTATCGTTATTATTATTAATTTTTTGTGTTCAAAAAAAATTAGTTATTTTATTAATTTATTAATTTAACATTTAAAAAAATAACTTTATAAAAAAATTATTATAAAAAATTTATTAATCGCTGTGTCATTCAAAAAAATAAATAAAAAATATGTTATATGTTATTTTTTAATAAATTATAACTATTAGTCTCTTAAGTATTTAATAATAATATTATTATTATTAACTAAAAAAATATAATAATAATCATTATCAATAAGTATAATATTAATAATTATATTAATTAATTAATTATAAAAATAATTATGGAAACTATTAGAGTGTTTGCTAAAAAATTAATAATAAATCAAAAACATATTTACACATTGATATTGTTTGGCACACATTTACTATATGTAATACAATTATATACTTATTATTGTATTTTTTTTTGAAAATAATTTTTTCTAAAATAATTTTTAAATATTTTTTTTATAGTCAATATGTTTTTCATCATTTGGCCCGGCTTATGTAGATTTCAAACATCTATTGAATACAACCCTACAATTGGTATCCATGTTTCCAACCATACAGGCAGCCGGTCACGTGACCGGTACATTAAGTTAGTATTTATTTAAAATAAAAATAAATAAATAAATAATATTATTAACAATAATTTTTTTGAAGAATAATTCAATATATTTAGTTTATGATAAAAATATATATTAATAAATAAATATATATTTTAAACTATAAATAATAAAAATTAGCATGCTAAATATTACTTGTAGTATATGCTATTAATTATTATATTTAAGTAATAAAAAATAAACTAATAAAATTTAGCATGCTAAATATTATTGGTAGTTAATATACTGGTACATTAATATTAATTATTTATTAACTAATTTTTATTAAAATCTTAACTATTAATTATTATATCTAAATAATTTTTTTTAAAAAAAAACATAATTAAATCAATAAATAATTTTCTATTATTTTTTTTAAATAAAATTATTTAATTAACTATCAATTAATTAATTAATACTATTTATATTATAATAGCTGGACTATTATATAGATATCTAAATCGACAATTACTTATATCTATACTACTAATAATAATGTCAACGGCAACAATCCTGGTACCCTATTCAACCCGATTGTGGCACTACTATCTATGTGCCTTTATGTTTGGCCTGGGATCCGGTTCCTGGATGACCACCTATACGGTTTGGCTGATGGAAATGTGGTCGGACAGATCGGATCTGGTATTGTTTGCCTCTCAACTAATCTACGGTATAGGTGCCAGTCTAGGACCGCTAATTGATGCACCCTATTTGACTGGCGATGATGAGGAGGACAGGGATCATCAGCAGCTCCGGGATGCTAATAATGATGATGATGATATTAGTAGGCGCCGGTCTAAACTAGTTATACCCTATATTATCAATGGATCACTAATGTTAATGTGTAAGTGTGTATTGATATTTTTGAAAAAAAAAATTAATTCAAATTATATTATAAAATATATTTTTTTAATTTATTAAAAATTTATTTATATTCAATATATAGTTCCCGTAATTTTGTTGATAATGTTTATTATATGGCGCTATCAATCAATTGTTATTCAAAATAATAATAATATTAATAATAATACTGAAAATACTAATAATATTGAAAATAATAATAATATTGAAAATAATAATAATATTGAAAATAATAATAATAACATTGAAAATAATAATAATTAATAATAATATTAATTTAGAGTTACATAATAAACAAAATAATAATAATAATAATCATATTAGWGATAAACCATTTAATTCATGTCGACCCATAATTCAATGGCCAATACTGGCACTGGTAGCTATGACACTAGCCTGTATYAAYTCAYTRGAACTGGTCTATTTTAATTTTGCCACTACCTATTTCCAGTACCTGCCCGTACATATCGGTGCCCAGACAGCGGCCATACTATCGTCGGCAGTGTCCATATCCTATACGTGTAGTCAAGTCCTRAATTTTTTCATTGTYATGAAAGTTAACATCAATTATATGATTGGCTATCACTATGTTATTACAATTATAGCTATAGT